AAGTTATGTCTGATGTTTTCTATTTCTGTTGCAGCAAATTATATATGAATGTACTTCAATATAACTGAACAATAAACAGTGTTGAGTAAAAAAAAAACATCGGCAAAATGCTTATTCTTGGTTACTCTATAACACAGAGGTACTCAAACTTTAAGCCTAAGGGCTACACTGACTCCTTTACTAAGTCCCAAGGCCAAAGATCTAGTTCATCATATCAACATAAATTGTACTTTTCATTTACATGGACATTTTGATATGCAACTGATATCCATGGCGTAGGGTGCGGGGGGTAAACTCCGCTCCGGTGGCAATTTCGGAGGGTACTACGGGTATGTGTCAAGGACATTTCATTGCGACGGAGATAGGCGATACGCGTTACATATTATTATGACCATTTACGACCACGCTGAATGCAAAGTAATGTTATCTTGAGAAGAGTAAACCTACCTGTTTTGAAAATGTTTGTTTCCTTTGAATAGAATATGGAGCAGAGAAGTTAATCATAGGACAGCAAAGCTGTGTACACTAGTACAGCATTATCATCTAGAGAGTAGTAGAAGTATATGAAAACGTCAATTAGGCTTGGTTAATTGAAGTAGACAACACCACCTTGTAGCAAGTAGCAGAGATGGAGTATGATACGGAAAAGTTTAATTTGCAATTTGTTACAAAAAAAGTCACATTTGCCCAGTTAAAATAGTATAAAAATAAAAATAACTGAAAATACCTTATTACTACAATTAAAATAAATTATTAAAAATTGTCATTGAAAAGGCTAAGGTAATATAAAACATAATACATTAACATATCAATATAATTAAATTCAGTCCTATGTCAGCTTATGTTAAAGATAAATTTATTGTAAAAATTCTTCAAATAATTATAAACATTGGTCTTCTTTCAGAGACAGTTTTAGGAATTCCTCAATTTTGTAAATTGGGTTTTGTTTTTAAATCGTTTTATTTTATTTTTAAGCTCGGATGAAGTCAATTTTGTTATTGCCAGGGGTAATTTATATAATCATCAGTGGAAGGCAAAATTCCAGCAATGACGAGTTTAAATGTTTTTCTTTAAAAATATTAATACACAGCAAATTATTATTTTCTATTTAAAGTTCTTGAGCAAGGACGTACTATATACCGATGTTTCAAAGGATTTTTGAAAAATCTCAACATCATCGTTTGCAATTGCATCAAAGTCTGAAAAACGAAACTCAACATTTATTTTAAATCCCAGAGATTAAACATTTATATCTAAAACCTTCAAGCGAAATCTATCGGAAATGGAATTCCAGTTTATTTCAAAAATATTTGGCACGTATTAAAATGCGTGAAACATTTTTTGCTAGATTGAGATTGATACAAAGCATTTTTTAATATGAATGTTCAAATCAAACAAAAGCTTTTTTATGATATCAAGTGATAATATCGAGAGTTTTTTTATAATATTAAGCGACACGCCTGTCCATAACAGTTGCAGTGCCACTCAGAGCTTTAAATCGCAAAAATCTGAGGGGCACTACTACTCCGCCTGTCAATCCTAAGACATAAGTTGACCAGTTCCACGTATCTGTAATTTCACCAACACCCATAACCCTTCAAAACCGGAACGCAGTAATGCTCACATTACTGCTTGACGGCAGAAGTAGGTAAGGCAGTACCTCCCAGGACAAAGTCTTTTACAAGAAGCTCTATTCCCACTAAAAAGCTATTATTTTCTTACAATTTTATATTTTTCCTACGCTTTCGCGACTGCTACACATTAGAAATGAAACTGTTTTCAAATCAACATTTCAGGCTATTTACAGTTCCCATAGCAGTGGCTAGTACTTTTAATGAAATTAATTTTTAAAATTAATTTCTTCAATAAACTCGCTAAATTGACTATATTTGAACGTATGCGATCGGATATAATTTACAGCTGACATGACTGGCTTAAAACTTCTGGCATATCCGAGTATTTTATACACAAAGACCGTTGATGGATAATATAATATTCAATTAATGATCTTGGACAACCGTCAAGGCAACGGCTTATTTATTTTTACTGCACATATACAGATATTTTAGCCACCACCCATCGGAATTGGTATTCAGCCTCAGTTTTTTTTTCCATTGAAGATAATTTTTGAACAGCATTTCCAACTCTCAAAAATATCTTCATCAGTGATGAATTCATGAATGCTACGAACATCGAGAAGGTCTTTATGTCAAGTTATTTTGCTTCCCACTATGTTATTTACGAAAGTTCCAAGGTCGTAAAATTTCGATTTGAGAAATTTCAGTCCGACGTTTTGCTGAATGAAGTTATCGTTTTTCTAACGCACGCAAAGAGCCACAATTGACCGACAAACGGCGTAGGTAGCCTACGAGTGACTCATTAATTTGACGATGCTGAAAATCGAGTAGTTCGCGAAATATTATTTGGGTCTAAATATTCAGTTACAATGGCTTTGTGATTTAATAAAATAAAATAAATATTAAAATTAAAATTGTTTTTACAATATAACTTAACGGAGTAAACGTATATTTCATTGGATGCAGGCACAGACATATATTCAGATAGATTCAGTTTTGTAGTACGGCCGCTTGTGTATTTTTTTAGCCAAATTTAACATTTAGTGATGCATACGTTAGGAACACTGTTCTCGATTCTGATCGATTTTGAAAACAAAGGGACGAAAATTATTATGACCTTGATATTATAAAAATATTCTATAACTGTTCTGTTATGTCGTTTAGTAACGTTTTGTTTTTTTTCAGTTTTGTAGTATCTATTATCAGTAGTATCTGTAATTTCGATAATTTTTGCAGCACGTTGCCTCAAATGTCCAAATATAGTGAACAAATAATTACATACATCGCCGGATATGTAGTACGAGTAATACAAAAAAATATATAAAGCAAAGAATTAACAGTGCGCTGTCTTTACAAAAACCTGGAGTTGGTAATACGTATGACATTAATACTTTGATAGTAATATGAAGGTGGTCTAGTATATCCTACCTAAGATGCTATCCAAATACGCAGAGTAGCAGGGTCAGAGCAAAGTAGAGAGGAAATCCGAGAAATAATAAACAAATCACAAAAATTTCACATGAGGCCGTCATTAAGTAAACATCTTCTGATTAGTAAGATTTGACCATATTTTGTCAGCAGTATCATTTTCACTTGTCTTGCCATTCATCATTTGATCATTTACCAACAGAAAACCATCTAGTAAAATTAATTAAGACAGACACAAGTTCATATATTGACGTGCGTTTTCATTATTTAAGTTAAACGATAAGATCTTCTATTACAAAAAGATGTTATATAATAAGCTCATTTTACTGGAAGGACAATAATTTTAATATTTGAAGTCGATAAAAAATTAAAGTCTTAATTTTTTTAAGTAATCTTATTCTAGTATTTTTCTACTATATTAGCATTATGCGACGAAACACTTGTAATCAACAAATACTTGAACAAAAATTATTCTATTTAGAATCGAGTAATTGAATGGAATACGCGTGGTTACGCGTATTCCGTTCAATCAATCGATTTAGAGCGAGCGGAAGGAGGTTTCCATCACTAAATAGTACTTATGACGTCATAGTGGGTACAAAAATGTGGCACGCTTGGTTTTCATACAAGTTGCTGTACTTGCAGCGTCTATCTAGATATATGTCTGTGGGTGCAGGTGTTAAACACTCAAACTGCAAACTTCGGAACTGTCCAACTCGATTGTTTTCTGTATTTACACTAAGCGTCATCTAAACTAAAGAAAACTCTCGACAGTACTCGAAACTTCCAGATAAGCGATCACGCAACAGAACTTTTCTGGGTTATATTGTTGACAGTACTGTGAGTTATACCTCTCACATTAACGAACTTAATAATAAAATATTCAGCGCGAACTATGCATTATTGAAATTGAAACCTTTATTAGATAAAAAGCCTTTGACTAACGTCTACTTTGCTTATATTCACTCACTTTGAAGTTATGCAATTACTGTTTGGAAAAATGGAGTCGATATAAAAACTACCTTGATAAATAAAAAAAAGTCAATAAGGATCTTAAACGGTTTACGTAAACGCGAGTCCGCCAAAGAATATTTCGCTAAAAATAATATAATGACTGTGATAGCATTGTACATTTATAAAAGCTTACGTGAAGTTCACAAAGGTAAGGAAGAAGGAAAATTCCTAAAAAGTTCTAATATCCATAACTACAATTTAAGAAATAAAGAAAAAATAGTACACATTACTAGATTAGATGAAACCAAAAACACTGTCTGTATAATAAAATTACCGGCCTGATAATAAGTTGCTCACGTATAGGTATATTTTTATCATAAATCTCATGTCAATGATTAGTTAAAATTAAAATGTTAAATTTAATTATGAATGTAAGCTATTATTATTACATGTGAAGATATGGTATCTTCATTGGAAAATATTATAATTAAATTATGACATATCTTCATAAGTAATAAGTTAATTATAATATACATTACAATGAAAATTAGACTGTAAATATTTTATTATTTTGTACGTTTTTGCATTTATTTACATTGTTAATTTTACTATGTAATCAAAATAAACTACGGCGGGCCTGATTGAAGGTGCGAGTTGTCTTTGGCCCGCAGGCCAAAGTTCAAAGAACCGCTTCTCTAACGTGCTTATGTATTGTTTCAGGTCAAACCAATGATTGAGTCATCAAAAGAGACCTGCATAGCAAGAAAACAATGATTCGGGTGAGCTTTTTACTAACGCATGATAGAGTAAAGCACTAAGTTTAGATTTATATCAGAGTATTTTTATTGTGTTGTGTTCCGTACTTGTACAAATTAGTGGCGACGAGCGCGTAAGAAGGGGGAATCGGGATGAGCCGGCGGCGCGTGGTGCGGCGCGCGTGCGCTTGCGCGGGCGCGCGGTGGGCCGCGTGATGCGCAGGAGCGCGCGCGTAGCCTGCGGCGCGTGTCGCGCGACCGCGTCTGCGCGTGCGCCGAGCGCGTGATGCGCGCGGACCGCGCCGCGCTGTACGCGTGGCTCGTGTGCTTCGCGGCCGCGCTCTCCACGCACAAGTACAGTACGCGCGTCGTGCGCACCAAGTACGGGCCGCTGCGAGGGATTGTCGTCCACTCGCACCCCCAAGTCGAAGCTTACCTCGGCGTGCCGTATGCGACACCACCCCTGGGCAGCCTCAGGTGAATAAAACGTTCCCTTCTTAACGTTGGTTTGCCAGTCATTTCATAACTGATATCTTTTACCTGTACAGACTCATTAGCTCATAACTAAAGACTTCAGAATGGTAATGGGACAAAGCTTACAAAGCCTGCATTTAGTTTTTAGGCTTTAGCGATTGTTATACGTAGGACTGGAAACTATTATATTCGGAATTAAGTCGCGTATAATGGGACCGGTAAAGGGCCCGAAACGTTGGTTTGTTTAAAAAATTAAATATGCGCGATTTAGATCCGAAAAAAAAAAGTTCCATATCCTACACGCAGTTAGTTCTAGTCAACAGATTAATACACTGCCGCGTATTCTTGTGGTCGTACCTACTGCAACAATATGTTGCCGCGTTAACGAACTAATTGAACGTTGTTGGTGTTTGCCTACCGCTGATTGCACACCATTTTCTAAGCTATCCGAAAAATACATGGCTACTGTATTCTTTGACAACAGATTATCTACCTTTGTATGTAGGTTTTATAAACGTTATCATATCTCAAGTCACTTTAATATGCATGGTGCTTCAAAACCTTATAAGGAATTAATGAGGCATGCTTCAGAAGCTTGTATTGTGTAGGTTATTGTGTCAGTCATGGCTCCGCCGCCGCCCCGCTCGCTGCTGTATGCAAACACATGTCTGCGTACACAGATACCGAGCATACTCTGATGTCTTGTATGCGTTGACTTAACGAGCGCGTGTCACAGAATCAAGAATAGTTAATGAACACATTGGACATTACATAATATTTAAGGTTATAAAAGTATGAATGTAGAAATTGTAGAGTTTAAATGAGTACTTAATGAGTGCGAATGTATAACATGGATATTATTTAAATGATTAAAAAATAAAGATCTACCTATCTACTTTGGTTTAAAAAACAAGTTGTTAATAAATTATTTAACTTATTATTGATTCGCTTCGAAAAATGTGTGCATAATTCTATAAAATTATGATTGAGTGCGGCACTAAGGGCGCATTCAAATCAGACGCTTATAAGAGCTCTGCAGTGGCGCCACTGTGGCGTCTCAGCCACACCACTACTACTTTTCATACAATATTTAGAAGCAGCGCCTCCGTCTTCCTTTTCCATCCACTCACAAACAACCATTGCAGTCACAATAATTAGTAAACTAAAAATCACTGAAGCGCTACAGACGCGCGGCTGCCGCGTCACTGCAACGTTTCTACAAGCGTCTAATTTGAAGGTAATAGTACTCTGAAGGATGGTCATATCTTAGGCCGGAAGTATTACATCAATTAATCTTGGAATTTGTGAACCGTTTAACATTAAATAATGGGAAGTTAGAAACTGGGGGTCTACTCCCATTCTCCGTCCGATATCTGTCCGAAACAATTACAGTCAAATAAGTAATAGTCGGCCAAATTAAAAGGTGCACGATGCGAATGAAGCTTCATACTTGACATTGTCTTTTGATTTGGTTGAGTATTACTTATGTAGGACGACATGAAAACATTATGAATGTGACCGAGAAAGTATGTGTGAGAGAGAAGGAACACGAAGGTGCGAGAGAGCATAAGACGTTTGCACGACTTTTTCTTTTGAAAATATGTAATAATTAGATTCCCCATGATTTTGCTTATTGTAATTGTTTCAGACGGAGAACGAGACCACATGCCCAGATACCTTTAAGCACATTCCTTATACGCATTTTTAGGGATAATATACATTCGTTTACTTTATACACATTCGTTTAGTACTAGAATGAACTCCTCTTAATATCCAGATTTCGATAATCTATATTTACTTCGTGCTTCTGGATTGACACATATGTGTTTTATACTAGATACATGCCACCGGTGACGCCGTCTCAGTGGCGTACAACGCGCCTGGCGGACGCGGTAGGCCCAGCCTGCCCGCAGGCGCCGCCTGCGCCGGCGCCTCGCGACGAGGCGTTGCTGCTACACCCGCGCGCACGCATTCGTCAGCTCGACCGTTTGTTGCCCGTGCTTGCTAACCAAAGCGAAGATTGCCTTTATGTCAACCTTTACGTGCCTGTTAATGGTTAGTATTAATGCGTTCCACCTTACGAGCCTTCACAGACAGAATATTAAAAAAAAAAACTCTTTCGCAAGGAGTTCTACTGATGTAGGAGTTTACCAAGTGGAACCTTTAGTGAATTAACAACAGCTTACCAATAAGATATGAGATACATTAAGATATGATATACAGAACAGAATATTTAAATACTGACATAGTATTCTTAACGCGGTAAGCGTACAAAAATTTCGACTTTAATCTACATACATTTTTTTTTAACTTCATAAAAGAATCATAAAAATGCAAATAAGTATTTTTTCCTGAAATTTCAGAACGAAATGCTTTTTACGTGTTATATTCGCTGCTCGCTTCCAGAGAACTCAAAAAGGTTCATTGTCACTCTAATCCAATAATCTCGGATCATCTCAAAGTATCGAATTTTAAAGAAGCTATGTATGTTCTTGCTTACATGACATTACGTTATTGGAAATTATAATTTACTATAACAGCGTGACTCGGACAAATAAATATTTTGTAATCCTAAAAGAGAAAGTGTTATACGACATAATATGTTTCGATCTGTGACAGATATAATATATTTTATAAGAAGAAAAATGTTTTTTTCGGAACTCTGTATTGGGAAATAACGTTAATTATTACGTTTTCTGTGTCTTTTATAGACTTTAATTACTTTGAAAGATTTGTTTGCGAGAGCGGTGTAGATTGATCGTGTTAATGGTAAAGTTGTATGTCGTGCAGTTTTCTTTATTATACTAAGTGACAGGACGAATAAGTCGTGTCGTGTCCTGGTGCTAAGCGACATCCTTGTCGATACCAGTTTCAGTGCCACTCAGATTTTCTAACCGACTTCAAAAAAAGGAGGAGGTTCTCAATTCGACTCTTTTTTTTGTACTTATGTTACGCGTGAACCGATTTTCATGATACTTTTTTGTTGGAAAGAGGGTATCTCCATAGTGGTCCCATTTTGAAGAAAATCATCCACCTCTAAGGGGTCACGTTCACGCATGAAGGTTCATTTTTATAAATAGCGCCTAAATTTTATTATAAGCAGTGCTGCTTATAATAAAATTTATTTTAATGGTTGATTTTGCTATTCTCCAATTCAAGGCGTTTTTCTCTCTCGATATACTTTGAGAAGTGAGAACCGATAATAATAATAAAGCACACACTCGACATAGCCCCGCACTAGGGAAACCCTGTGTCGCGGGTGTCATGGACACACACATAGACAACCAGAAATTACACCCAAACTCACGAGAGAAATAAATGTAGGCCATACAAATATTTCTCCCGGCCCGGGAATCGAACCTGGGACCTCTGCGTGGCAGTCCGGCATGGTAACCGTTCGGCCACGGAGGTAGTTATGTTTATTATATTTTAGTGGCAAACTAGGGGATGAATCCGGGTTTGCGCACTACCCGGTAACCGATTTCAATAAAACATGGTAATTATATGTAATTCCACAATAATACTCTGTACTGAGATTATTAAAACTTCCCATCTTCTGCCACTGCGCCTGTCACCCTGAGTCATAACTCATGTTATTGTAATTTCACCTATACGTCCTTAGCCTTCAAAACCGGAATACAGCAATGCTCACATTACTGGTTGATGGCAGAAATTGGTGATGTGGCAGTACTTCCCTGGACGAACTCTTTCACGAGAAGCTTTATTGCTACTCGAATAATAATAAGTGTAGTTAAAAAAATTAGGTTTTAGATATGATGGAATACACGTGAATTTTCGCAACAATAGCTTCAGATAACACAAAAGATTCTTGGAAAGTACACAAAACAGATATGGCGTTAATCGCAATTACCAAACGCATGGATAATTCGTGAGCTCTGCCGATTCGAACTGTAGCTCAATTGAAAGAAAGAAAGAAAAACGTTTATTCATTAAATTGAGTCACTATACCCACTTAAATCTAATACTTAACACTAAATCAACAAGTAACCGCGTGATTTTAAGTTCGTAACTGCATAGTGGCGCAAAAGAACGATAGGACACGTTTCAGCAATATGTCAATCTCGGGCGAGACAGACATATTGCTGATTTACAGTCGTTCCTGTTATTTTGGTTTTTATAATTGGTAAGCGGTTGCCCTAAATTGGCAAAACGGACACAGGTTCGAGTCCTGTCAGATCAAAGAAATTTTCTTTTATATTCGATCATTGTATTAATAATTGTAACAAACTAGTGGAGTAATTTCACAAAAATAAATGCATGTCATGGTAGTAAATCATCATAATATTAATTACAATCAGTAAAAGAAAAAAAAACAGGACGATAGCGAAGACAGAAAAAGCGAATAGAAAATACTATTGTGTATTTTTGTATATTTTTAAGCCCACAGAACATTTCTAGCGGGAACACTTTACGCCATACGATGACACTTACGATTTGTTTTTACTGTTTCTCCTGTAAATTTCTCATTATATTAATTTTTATGAATTCTTTGTAGGAAAAGAATAAAATGTAAGAATAAAGTTGAAAAGTTCGTTAAAAGACCGATATATTTGAATTAGTTCGCTGGGTTGAGCGGGTAATGAACATAAAATGAGGAGTAACCAGAATTTACGGAGTCAAGCTGATATACATCATCAGAAAGTAAAGTTAGAAAAGACAAAAGTGAATGAACTAAGTGATTAAACATCGGAAAGAAAGCGTGAAAAAGCGAAAGAAAAGATTATGCAACCGAAATAGCCTTTTTTTTTGTAAAAACGAAAAACAAAAAAGAGTAGATTTAAGAAGAACATAGAGTAGGTTTAAAATGAAAAGTGTTGTAAATGTAACGAGATGTACATTTTTTAACCACTGAATTAAAAACTAGTGGAAAAGTAAAACTAGTGCGCCTCATGCACACACAGAAGTAACGTTACATTACACTACTAAATTAATATAATCTTAATTGTCTATAATTATCAAATAAAATTAAGCTTACAGTATATATCTTTTGGAAAAAAAAACTTAGTAAACTTTACTGGATTGAATCCAGTAAGGTTTACTATTACTAACGTCGAAACTGATCACACTACATCTACTTCTACAACAAGCCAATGATCTGTTTTGCTTAAGAGTTCCATTAGTAAATACTAAATGGCACCATTATTCGATAGTTCTTATGTAATTGATTGAAAGCTAGGAACCCTATAAATGTGGAACACTCTAGTTCTTGGTCTATCAGATCATAGAAGAATATTGGAATTTTAAATAGAAAACTACCGTGGGACTCAGACATATTAACTAAAAATAAAGGATAACTCACGTATTTAAGTCGAATTTTTGCTCGACATGTTTCGAACCAATTCGTGGTCCTTGATCATGAGATTCCGCGGCGGTGACTCGACGAAAACTACGCGCCAAAGCCCTGGCAACCCAATCACTCAGTACGGCAGCGGGCGCAGGCAGCGTCGGCGAAAAACTACCCTCGTTTGCTTCATTTTTATTAAAGTCATATGCAGGATTGCACACTACACTAACAACGTCACTTTCTAAAGTCTCGTCTACACTAACCACTGATGTAGTACCTAACACTGTTTTCCAGCCGGGGGGTACCGACCATCCACTATCACGATTGAAATTCGAATGACGACCAATCTTGATAACTTCACGTACTTTCCGCGGAATGAAACGCTTTTCTCTCGCCAGTACGGACACTTTATCAAAACGAATATAGTGCATCGAATCCAAATCCAATGAGTGTTCCGTCACTGAAGAGCCCCGAGTCATATAAGGGACTCAAGCCATTCATCAATTTGTTGAATTATATCCAGCTATGTGAAGATGAACTTATGGTGACTTTTGACGTGACATCTCTTTTCACCAATGTACCGGTAGACGAAACAATTAAAATTATCTCAGATCTTTTAAGTGCCACAGATTTATCTGCTATGTATTGATTTAGTATTGACGAGACTTTAGAAAGTGACGTTGTTAGTGTAGTGTGCAATCCTGCAGATGACTTTAATGAAAATGAAGCAAACGTGGGTAGTTTCTCGCCGACGCCGCCTGCACCCGCTGCTGTACTGAGTGATCAGGCTGCCAGGGCTTTGGCGCGCAGTTTCAGTCGTGTTACGCCGCGGAATCTCATGATTAAGAACCACGAATTGGTTCGAAACATGTCGAGCAATAATCCGACTTAAATACGTGAGTTGTCCGTTATTTTTAGTTAAGAACATTGGACTTTAAAATCATAGTACTATAGGTGCTTTTTATTTATCATAATGGCATAAAATGATCAAATATTAAAAATAAAGTTATATGTTTAATTTAGTGAAAATAACACTTATCGATGATATGAAACGTCTTCACCAGATACATTTTAATTATTGTAGAGCCAACTAACTTTATCTCTGTCTATGCGTAGTATTTCTTGTATTATATGTAATTAAAGCTATATACATGAAATGGTAAGGGAAAGCTGTAACTTATCACAAACAACCTAGCCCTAACCATACACTACGCTATATATACGTACATAGATAGTAGGGGAAGCCTGTTACCATGCGACCTAAGGTAACAGACGGAAGGTGGGAAGGATCAGGGGTGCAAGGAGTTTATTTTCTCACTGCTAGTCTCACAGACTCACAATACTGAACAGATAAGCTGACGGTTAAAGGGGTATTGGCCACAGTGAGAGGATGCTGTATTCATGATAGTTCCATTGTCAATGAGACAGCGTTGATGTCTGCATTCAAAGATAACTTTATTTCTAGAAAGTAGACTATTTATACAAACTCTATATACACATGTGCGTCAATATTACAATATTATTTTTAAATATAAAACAAAGGAAACATCTATTCAGCAGGCTGGTCTTGCACATTGCTATTCTGTCAGTGCACTGCTGAGCAGTTTATTATCGTCACGTGGTAAATTTATATCCGGTCAGGTTGTCTGTTCATGTCACGTGAACGTGAACATCTAGTACTATTATTTCGTCAGCACAAAACAGAACAATAAACCATAATTCACTAAAAATGTGTAATTTTTGGTTTGCG